TTAAATTCCAATAGAAAAATGACAAATAAGATTCTATTTTATTTTACATGGTACTTAATTTCATACAATTCTCAGTTAACAAATAGAACTTTAAAAAGTAGACATTCATTGGGGCCAGGGATGTAACTCAGTGGTAGAGCTCTTGCCCAAGAAGTGTGACGACACTATGGGTTCAATTCCCAGTCCTGCAGTGGAGGAAAAAAAAAAGTTCAGTAGTTCAGATCCTCTTGATCTTTTTTGGCAGCACAGCCTTGTGCCAATTATATACTAAAATGAATAACTAATTCTGGGGTTTTTCTAGAGGAGAATCATATCTTAAAAGGAATTCTGACAAACTTGTCCATAAGCATAAAACTATTTTAGAAGTATTTTAGTAGAATAGGCATAGTCATTATGAATAAAATGTAAGATTTTCATTTTAAATTAGAAAAAGATGCACTTTGGTGCTGGGGATACAGCTCACTCGGTAGAATGCTTGCCTCACGTGCACAAGGCCCTGGGTTCAATACCAAAAAAAAAAAAAAAATGCACTTTTTCCAAGTCTTCTTTAAAAATATTTACGAGAATTGATGTGCAGATTGTACTATTTCCAAATTCATGTTACTAATTATAACAACAGATCTCTTCCAGAGCCAAATAAACTAAACAGTACAATTTAGGAGAATATACACTTCAGTTTGATGGGGGGATAGCTCATCTAGTTTATGGTTAAAGGAAAACTTCAGATTCCACTTCTTAAAGCTTTTATCTGCTTTTTCACTGAGAAAGGAATTCAGTCACTGTGCTTGATTGTGGTTTTGAAGAATTTTGGGGTAATTTAAAAACTACAGTTTATACTATTGTGTAATCAAATGATAAGTTCTTCTGAAAGATCTAGGTAGTTGAGGTTTTCCAGTGGAACTCTTGATTTGCAAATAAGCTTATGGTTAGAATTAGAATTTAAGTTCACAGTGTCATATACTGTTTTCTGGCAAGACCTTTAAAGAAAGACACACTAGTAGAAGCCACATGTTCTCAATAGGATACAAAAGGTAAATTAGTTAGATGATATTTTATTCTTGTTTGATATCCTCAGAACAGTTTAGGACCTGTTTTATTATAGATTCTTGGTTTTCAAAACTGGGGAAGTTTGAATATTTGTATGTCGACAAAAGGCAAACCTGAAATAAGTTTTTAGAGAGAGTAGCCATCTTCAGTAATAAACCAATAATTAACATCCTTGTTAAATGTTTCATGCATAATTGCTTTGTTTAGTTTAGAGATAACTTCATTAAAAAATCACTATGTCATGTATATCATAAGTTGTATTGGTTTTCTATATGCTTCAAAGTGATTATCATTGTAAAAAGCAATACTGTTAATCGTTTTAATATCATAAGTATGTTTTATACATAAAGAGACTTCTGTAGAAAGAGTACGAGGATGTTATTTTTCCAATTTTATAATATGATATTATGTAAACATTGAAAACTTCTATAGTCATAAATTACAACTTGATAAATTTATTGGCTGTGATAATGATATCAAAATGAAATTCTGTCCTCAGTAGATTAGAAATTTGAGAAAACATGGGTTTGGTTTTTTTGTTTGTTTTTATAAGTTTTGAAATATTTATTGAAAATAGTAAACTATCAATAAACAACATGCTAGTTACCTTGAAGGTATTGATTGACATTGATTATAGAAAATTATATTTGCGTTTCTTCCTTTTACCATTTAGGTCGCTATGCATTTCAGATCTGGAAACCTCTAGAACAAGCAATTACAGACACTGCAAGGAAGGTTTCATCTTCTGTAAGTTAAATGTGACTTCACAACTAATTTTTATGCTCCAGCCAGTAGTATTACATTAATTTTTGGGTAACTTATTTTCCCTTTCTAACTACTGTTCATTTATTCAATAAACATTTAGTGAGTGTCCAGTGTACACCAGTCCCTGTAACAGGAGCAAGGGAGAGGGATGAAACAAAACACAGTCCTGCCTCTATGTAGCTTACTCAGGAGTTTATTTCATCTTGTGTTAGAGTCTGTAAACAAGTCAAAATAACACCTGGCATTTTGCCAGGGGAATGTTAAAGTTCGTAAACAAGTCTGGATGGTGCCTGGCAAAATGCCAGAGGGAGTGGTTTGAGAAGTAACAAAAGCGAGCCATTAAGTGTGGAGATTCCTTATTGGTTGTCTGATGTATCTAGTTTATGCTAATTAGATAAGCTGTGTGGAATGTATAAATACTGCTCCTGTCCTGCAATAAATGGCTCCCACTCCTGCTGTATCAATCTACACAAGTTGTTCGTCACCCCCCGGTTATTTTGCTGCAGCCGGACTGCGGCAATCTTGAAATTTGAAACTCCTCTCCTTATATCACTGTACCTGACCCATCTCAAATACAAAATTACAAGATTCCAGCCTGAAGTCCTGTAGGGCTTATCCATTCATCTACCAGCATCAGAGACTCTGGTGAGCTGAATATAAGGGAGGAATGGATAATAATAGTTATCTAAAAAGCCACACTATGAACTGAGGTTTGTGACCAATGAAGACAATTCAAATAAGACTCATTGAAGCCCTGAAAAATAAACATTGAGTTCTGAGAAATTTATGCAGAACTAGAATAGATCAGTTTGGCTTGCAGCAATTTGAGAATGAATGACTTGTTTTAGCAAAGACATCACAGGCTTTTGGGGTTTAGTTAGCCAAGAACAATGAGCCTTTCCAAAGGATGACATACTGACAAATAATTAAACCCAGGTTCAACTTTTAAGAGATTTTGGAATCCTATAAATGTATGTCTGTGATTAAAGTGAGTATATGTCTATTTTTTGTTCCTATTTATATTTTGTTTGGTAAAGTATTGCCAGGGTATTCAGCATTTATTAAGTAAATATTCATTGAGCACCTTATCACATGCCAGACATTGTAGGCCATGGGATACAATCATGCACCAGACAAAGACATTTTCCTGTAGGCACTTATGTTTTATATTTTATTAGAGATAAATCATAAACAAATGAATTAGGATACATAATATCTATAAGTGTTAAGTATTTATAATTAGTTAAAAATTTTCTCCAGAGTACTGGGGATTGAATCCAAGAGCAGTCTACCACGGAACTACATTCCCAGCATCTTTAAATTTTTTATTTTGAATTGCGGTCTCACTAAGTTATCAAGCTGGCCTTCAACTTGTAATCCTTCTGCCTCAGTTTCCAGAGTAGCTGGGATTATAGGAGTGTGCCACTGTACCCAGCTGTTAAGTGCATTTTTCCCCCTCCTATACTAGGAATTGAACCTTGGGCCTCATACAAGATAGGCAAGCAGTCTACTGCTGAGCTACATCCCCAGCCCTGTTAAGTGTTTTTAAGGAAAACTAAATTAGGGTAAGAAGTTAAAGAATAACAACAGAAGAATCTTTCATTAGATAGGCCAGGCAAGCCTGAGAAGACATGGAAGCAGGCTATGCAAGCATCTGAAGAAAGAGCTTTCTGGTTAGTGGGAACATTACAGAAGTACTGAGATGGAAATGAGCTTAGCAACAAGGCTTTTTGGTTAGTTTTTCATCACTGTAACAAATACCTGAGAAAACAACTTAGAGAAGGGAAGATTTATTTTGGCTCATGGTTTCAGTCCCTGATTGGCTGGCTCCATGGCAGAATCATCATGGTAAATAGTTTGGCAGGGGAATCTGCTCAGTTCATGGCAGCCAGAAAACACAAAAAAAGGAAGGTTGCTCGGGACAAGATATGGTCTCAATGGGCATGTACCCAGTGAACTGTGTCATGTATGTCATAGGTTGTATTGGTTTTCTATATATTTCAAAGTGAATATCATTGTAAAAAGCAATACTGTTAATCGTTTTAATGTCATAAGTATGTTTTATACATAAAGGGACTTCTGTAGAAAGAGTATTAGGATGTTATTTTTCCAATTTTATAATATTATGTAAACATTGAAAACTTCTATAGTTTGGAGGCAAACATGCCATACCTGCCTGTAGTTTCTACTACCTCCCTGTAGTCATTCAGCTTTCAATGGATTAATTCACTGATGACATCAGAGACCTCATGATCCAATCACTTCCCCAAAGTCCCTCCATTGAAATTACTGCATCAGGAACCAAGCCTTCAATTAATATCCAAATCATAACAATGGGTAACTTCATGGAGTCTATGAAAGGAAGAATAGTAGATTGGGCCCAAATCCTTATGGCCTAATGGACTATGAAAACCTCAAATTTTACTCTTATGAACAGAAAGTCTGTGAGATTTTGAGCACAGCATGATTTGCATTTTGATTATCACTATGCCTGTGACATAGAGTTTAGTTTATAGTGACCCAGAGTTAGAAGTCATGAAACGAGGGAATGGTGTTAGATGTTGGTGATTCAAGAGAGAGTAATGGTAATAAAAATAGTGACATAGTTCTCTAAATGGACTTTAGTTATATCTTCCCATGTTTACCAATAATAAATGGAGAGAATTTCAGGAATTATTTAATTGTAAAGGAAGAGAGAACAAGAAAATGAAAAAAAATTCTTACTGCTCAATAGAAAGCTCATAGGTAAGATAGGGTAGATTGAAGTGTATACTTGCCCTGCAACTTGCATTTTTTTAAGGAGAAAAAAAATGGTGTGCAAGTCCCTTTCCTTCTGTTTTTGCGGATTCTAGGTAAGAAATTTAGCTTTTAACAAATCTGGCTTCTCCTCCTTTTTCACAAAGTTCCACTCTTACAGTTTATAGTAAAACATCACAGAATATCTTAATCATCATCATCATAATAATTATACCTCAGTGAAGATACAAGTTTTTTAAAAGCAATTATTTAAAAATTAATCACTCCAGGGAAACTGAAAAAATGAGATATATGCATGCTTTCTCTTCACACTAATGAATCCCAAATGTCAAAATTCCTAAATACAGCATTTACAGTATTTTGATTTTGTAAATATTAATTATTTTTTTTTTTTTTTTTTTTTTTTTTTTTGTCAGATTTTCGAATATTTATTGCCCATATGGATAAAAAAAAAAAAACACAAAACCTTAAATGCAATGTGGCAATGGTCCTAACACACCTGTAAACAGAATACAACTGAAAATTTTACTGTACTCATGGTTGTGTAGAAGTTTTTAAGTCTTAAAGCCTCTTAACATAATCATGTATATCTATGTACAAAACATACATAAATTTCATTTTATTTAAAACATGAAAGAGGTAATTTCAAAATCACACTAAACATAATAAATATAGAACTTGCTTTGTTAAAAATCTACAGTATACATTCAAGTAAAGGTTAAACTTCCAATGCCAACTATATTGGGACAAAAATTAAACATTTACAATAATCAGTTTCCTAAAAGTGCTATTTTTAATACCTATAAAGAGGAAACTCATTCTAGTGCTTTGTTTCCATCCAAACATCTATACATTCCTTTATTCACAGAACCAGATGTTTCTGTTACTAAAAATACATATCCAAAGCTTTTATATCCTTTTAAAGACATTTAGCATTTCAGCTCTTTGGGGGAAGACAGGGAAATCCAAACAAACAACTCAGACCATCTTGAATTATTAGAGATGACTGACTTTATGGCATACCCTGTTTCAACTTAGATGTGAAATCTGATGAACATGTTAATGAAAAAAAAAAAAAATCCCATCCACACATCTAGGGTAAGTCATCTTTTTCCACATGAGAATTTGTATAGGTCAAGGAGCATCCACTGTAGCAACCTTCCTGTGACCCAGGTCTTGATGCTATGCTCCACTTCTGATTTGTACATTCTCTTCCAACCTGATTTGGTGTAGTTTCTTCAGGAGTTATATTCAGTACATTGATTGAATTCCTGAGAAGGCACTGAAAAGTTTCACATTTTCTGAGTTCTGGTGGTCAAATGTAGTCATATTTAAAAACTGCTGTTTTAACCAACTGGCTCTTTCTTCTTCAAAAGCCTTTCTCTCCAATCCTAGGCGAATAGCAGCTTCTGTAAAGTTTCGTCTTTCTTTCTCAAAATTCTTTTTTTGCTCTTTAAAAAGGGACCATTCTTCTTTGAGGCGTTCCTTTTCTTCCAACAAATAACAGTCTCGTAATAGTGAAGTGGTATCATCGTCACATGCAGTAGCGAGCTGCTGTAAAAGTTGCTGCTGTGTTTTAATCATTTCTTTACATTGCTGAATTTCTAACTCCAGTTTCTCAGTTTCTTGTTCATGGTCTTGTCGTGATATCACATCTTCATCATTAAAACCTTCTAAATGTACCTTTGAAACTTGATTATCAAGTTTTTCTACATGACTTTTCAAAATTCTCCACTGTTTTCTGATGCTGTTTGTAAGCTGCTCTCTCACAGTTTCACAAGATAGGTCCCACATACTCTCTCTGGTTAGTTCTCCAGCATCTTCTTCAACATCAGAGATAACAGTTCCTGTACTATCATCTGCTCTTTCTCTAGGTTTCTTCTTTTGGGGAGAAAGAAGAGAAATCATTTCCTTTTTCATTTGCTGAAGAACCTTCTTAAGTTCAGCATTTTCCATTAGGATTTGTTTCTGACGATATTCATAATCATTCAAGAGAATTTTGTACATTTCATCTTCATTCCTGGCTTCTGTTTTACCAGTCCTCCAGGAGCCTCTTTTTCCATCAGCTCTCCCCACATAATTTAAAACGTCCATGGTGATTTTTTTATCCTTCTTGTTCATAACAAGTTGATGCAGACGTTCCTTTAGCTTATTATATTCACGTTCTTTTCTCTTCATATCATGATTATACTGAGTAGCTCGGCTTGCAATGATATTTTGTAATTTTTGTACCTCATCTTTTTCATTTTTCAGGAGCTGATGCAAATTCCTGTTTTTGCATTGCAATTGTCTGTCTCTCTCCTGAAGCCCAATCATTTCCCTCCTGGAGGTTTCCAGTTGTTCCTTAAGTTTTGCATAGCAGTTCTGCAGATGGTCCATATCACTTCCCAGTTTCAGATTTTTTGTTTCCACATTTTCCTGAGCTAGAAGGTTTTTCCGCTGAAGTACAAGTAGCTCATTCATACAATTCAAAACAGCAACTATATTTAATTCTCTTTTTGTGTCTTTACTTTTGGATTCTTCATATAATGAAGGAAAACCAAAAGTGGTCAATTCCTGATCAAGATATGAAATACTTTGTTCAATATTCTCTTCTGTGCAGAAGGCACTGAAAAAGCTGTGCACACTTTTTGATAAAGGTATTGAAGAACATAGCACTTGCTGTGAATATAGACTTGATGGAGACATCTTTGTTTCTGAGGTATATTGAGAGAGATTTTTACTTTCTGGATCTGTAATAGTCATCCAATCTCCCATAGCAATTTCCAGAGCCAGGATACCTGAGGAACCAGTTTAGCACTGAAACATGTAGACCAGCTGCTGTCACTCTTCTAAGTAGGCATCTCCGTCACAGCCCCCGGGAGCGGCGGGGAGTCACCGCTCGCGGTGTCCAAGAGCGGCTCCCGCAGCCCCGCGGGCCCGCACAGGCGCGGCGGGACGCAGCGCCTCGCGCCGACCGCCCCTCCTCCAATATTAATTATTTTTAACCAAATGAGGTTACTTAAAAAAAAAAAAAAGAACTACGGTTGTATGTCAGTCTGTCATTCAAAGGGGAATGTCCCAAAACTCAAGTTCCAGTGGATTCTCTTTTCATTATTGTTGTAACACTTCACTTTATTTATTTCCTCTAAGCTTTAACATCTTGTTTTTAAATCTCATCTTCCTCTTTTTTTTTTTTTTTCCATTTTGCTGGAATATTGCCTGGAGTAATTTGTGTATATGGTATGCATGGATGGTAAATGTTGTAAGTTCTTCTCTGTTAAACAGTTGCTTTTTTTCTCATTGTTAGTTATCACTACTAGTTCCTTGAAATTTAGTGGAGCTAACATGAGAGAACTACAGAACTCTCTGCTGAGACTTAACCTCAGTGCCTACACTTCTACATTCCTGCATACTCATAGTCAGATTTTCTGCTCTTCTTCTTTTTCATTGTATTTATTGTAGATAGCCTGTTGTCTTGGTTTTCTTTTGTTGTTTGTTTTGGGGTTTTAGGTTTTTTTAGTGTTCATTTTTTGGCTCTCAAAGTTTTTAGGATTTTCTCTGTATTATTGGTGTTCTGAAAATTCTTAGGAACTCAGTGAACTGGTAACTTATTTGAAAATTGCCTTTTGTTGTAATGTTTTCTTATATTCAAAAAATTATTTTCTTCCTATGAGGTCCTTGCTTAGCATCTGATGGCCATCTTAAGTGACAGCTGCCATTTTAAGAAAAAAGTTTCACTTTCCCACCAAAGGGCGGTTCATAGAAAGGCTCACCACTCCCTCATACCAACCCAACCCTTAACCATGCATTAGGACCTGCCCAGTTCAGATTCCTGAGCCTGCCTTATAAAAATCCGAGAACCCAAGCCTGTTTTGCCTCTCTCCTATAGAGAGATGGCCTTTATTTGTCATCTCTGACAAATAAACTCTGTGTGTCTATCTGCTTGGTGTTTCATTTCTTGGACTTTTCCTTCACTTCCTTCATTTTCTTCTCTACTTCTAGAACTCCTATTATAAAGATGTTGGACCTTTGAGTCTATCCTTTATGTCTCTTAACATTTTAGCCCTTATTTTATTTATTTATTTATTTTTTTTGCCTTGTCTTTTTTTGCTGTACATTCTGTAGTTATTTCCACAGCTTATTTTCCAAATCACTATGTTGGTTTTCAGCAATGATCATTCTGTTAGTCCATCTCAATTATATACATTAGTGATTTTTTTTTATAATTTCCAAGAATTCTTTCTTGTATTCTTTTTATAGCAATCCACTTTTTAAAATGAATGTGATGTCATTTTGAATAACTTTAAAGATTCTAATTAGTATTTTATTATTTTTTTAAGTACTAAGAATTGTAATAATCCAGGAGCATTATTATTTTTTGAGACTAAGTCCTCTCATTAAACTGCCACCTTGAACTTGGAAATCTCCTATCTCAGCCTCCCTAGTAGGTGGGATTATAGATGTGTCCCATCACACAAGCTTCTCTCTTTTTTATTCTTCTGGAGACAATTGTTACCAGTTCATCTTGATTCTTTTAGTTGTTTTTTTCCCTCCATGATACTGAGTGTTTTCAAAATGTCTGATGATCCTTGGTGTTGTTTTATATTTGTGAGGACTAAGTTGATTAATATAAGTAATGCTCCTGGCTTTCTCCAGCAGTTTGGTAGATTTACTTCAGTGGCTTAATACCATGGTCAGTGGCCTATGAATAGGTTTGTCAGTAGGCACATCTTCCAAAGCAAGAAGACAGGGGCAGGCTTGAGATCTTCAGAGTCTACTTTAATTTTTCTCCTTGTCGTAGATAACCCGCTCCCTCATTTTCTGGGTTCCAAAATGGGATCCACTGACTCTCTTCTTTCATTCTTTACTTACATTTTAGGATTTACCAGCTGGAGTCAGAAACACCAGTTCCTTCCTGGTGTTTTCCCTGAAACACCCCCACCACCCTGTGTTTGGGACTACTATGATTTTTCTTTATATGTGATCTTACCTGTTTTTCAGTCTTCCAGGATTTCTTTATAAACTTTCTGGTTTGCTTCTTGTCCCATTTCTTCCCATTTCTTGTTTTCTATGCCTCATATTGTCTTTTTTTTTTTTTTGTATTGAAAATATTTCTTTTCCCATTTCAAAGGCACTTTGGAAAACAAAAAGAACTTTGTGATTCAGTCAGCTCTTTTGAACTAGTGCTCTTTTGCTTGCTTTTTAATGTATTAAGCTTAATGTGTATTAAGCTAATGTCTATTTATCCCTAACCTTTTCTGAAAAGGAGGTACCTAAGATACTATGGTACTGAAGCATTTAATTCTAATTTTAGGAAGACATTATTTTGACTTCTGTAGTTTATACTTTGTGAATGCAATAATGCAAAATAATAATTTGGAAGAACCAGGATATGTTTCTAATAGACAGTATTATAAAACTAGTAGAGTCTCACTGTTTCTGTTCTTGGAAATCATATTAGACAAATATAACTATTTACTTCACTTACTTGATGATATAATTATTTCTTGTAGTAATCTAATTTTTATAGATCTAAACATTTCCTTTAGCCCACCACAGCATTGTCAGAAGTGGTTCTACAGTGCCTTAAGATCTTTATAATCTGAATAATGCAATCTAAATATTGATATATTATTATAAAGCTTAAGAGAACCTTTTAGTTATACTTTATTAATAGGGAGGAAAGATACAGAGTAATAATTTTGTGCCTGCTCATAACACAGATACTAACTTAAACATAGTAGATTAAAATTATGATAATTCTATTTAAAATAGTGTGATAAAAAATCTGAATTTCATGGCTTTCGAAGGCATGATTTTTCAGTGAAGAAATGTGCAAGTATGTTAGGTGTCAGCATTTTGTTTTTATTTTGTTTTCTCTTTGTATACTTTTCTGTATACAGCTCCCACATCATTAAGCTTCTATCTTCAAAATGAAGTTTCTTTTAGAAGGTCTATGAGAATTATCTATGTAACAATTGACTTACTCCTATTAGTCAATTCTTCAGGATACGAACAACTTCCTGACAACTTCCTAGATTTTAAAGAGCCTTTTCTGAGACTACATTTCCACTTGGGCAAAGCTAAAAATTAAAAGAAAACATTGCACAAATACCAATACTTGCTTTTAAGGTTAATGAGTTTTATGACAGTAGTGGGAATGACTGGAAATATCATCAATTTTTCTTCTTTATTATGCTGATTCAAAATTTTCAAGCTCCCTAAGGTAAAGACTCACAGAAATGTTTTTTTTTTCCTGAATAATTACCCTATGCATTAATCTCAACATGATTTAAAAACAAAAATAGAACAAATATGCTTCTGTAGAAATGACTGCTATGGATCAAGTTGGTGATACTGCTATTTTGCTGCAACTAAATTGGATAATAAGCTTTTATTTAGGGAATGATTTAGTCAGCTTTTTCTTTGATGTAACTAAAGGACCTGACGAGAATAATTTTAGAAGAGGAAAAGTTTATTTGGGGGCTCATGGTTTCAGAGGGCTCAGTCCATAGATCACCGATTCCATTCTTTGGGGCTCATAATGAGGCAGGACATCATGGCAGAAGAGTGTGGCAGCATGGAGCAGTTCACGAGATGATCAGAGAGCAGAGAGATTCCACTCTCCAGTTACAAAATATACAAAATATACCCTAAAGGCATGCCACCAATGACCCACCTTCTTCATTCACACCTTACTTACCTGCCTTCAGTCATCACTCAGTTAATCTCATCAGAGGATTAATTCACTGATTGGGGTTAAGGTTTTCATAACCCAGTCATTTCTCCTCTAACCCTTTTTGCATTGTCTCATACATGAGCTTTAAAAAGGGAGACATCTCACATACAAACCATAACAGGGAGTAAGGTTTGCATGCAGTTAAGATTTGGATTTACTGAGACATTAAAACCAGGTGTTCTTCCTCTGTTCAATCCCTTGTTGCTTTCCACCTCTAGCTTTAGCTCTACTCTGTATCTATCTACGTATTCTCTCTGCATGTTTAGAAAGATACAGAACTTACTAGGGTAGTATAGGTACTAACCAATTCATTTTTTTTCCTCCCTCAAAACTGTGTCAGAAGTGAAGGAATATTTGTTTTCATTCTATATTGTAAATTACTTAAAATTTGGAATAGTAAGCACGTTATATTCCTCATGTACTGGTAGACTGATAGGTATCTCACTTGAAAATACCTGATGTGTTATTAGTTGCCAAAGTGCTTGTTGAATGAATTAATTACCAGGAATTACTACTTAGTAGAAATTTATAAAAAGCTGTTAAAGAGAAGAGTTTATATAAATGTCTAGATCAGACTCTGGGACTCAATTTTTTAAGCTCTAATCATTTTCTTGGTTATTCTTATTTATTCCGCTTTTGAAAGTTATATAAATAGCATGTATTCATTGTTAAAAATGCAGAATGTTAAAAAGAAGTAAATTATTCATAATCCTACTACCCCAAAATGATATTTTTTGTGTAAACATTTTGTTATATATACTTTCAGATTTTATTTTATTCAAACATATGCAATCAGGCCTCTATATCCAAGGGTTCACATTTGGAATTCCACCAACTGTAGATTGAAAATATTTGGGAAAAATTGCATCTGTGCTGAATGTGTATAGTCTTTTTTCTCTTGTCATTATCCCCTAGATAATACAGTATTACAATTGTTTACATAGCATTTGCATTGTACTAGGTATTATTTATATCATACTAAATAATCTAGAGATGACTTGAAGTATGCAGGGATATAAGTGTAGGTTATATGTAAATACTATGCCATTTTCTTTAAGGAACTTGAGCATCTAAGCATTTTGGTATCATTGGGGGTGGGGGTCCTAAAGCTAATCCCCCATGGATATTATACTTAATTGTGTTTCCTTACAAAAATATAGCCTTGTGTTCAATCATATGTGCCTAATTGTACTTCTAACAGCTGATTTCACACATCCTGTATCTGTTTAGAGCTCC